GGTTCAGCTGAAGGAAGCTGCAGCTCTCGCAGCCTTTGCGGGGTTGAACTGGGGCCGTGCCGCTGCCTTTGAGGGCGCTTCTTGTGCCCGCGGCCCGGCCCCGAAGGTTGCGGCGCGGGAGCGCTCCTGGCGTGGCCCGGGCAGTTGCTGCGGTGGGAGGGGAACGCGGCCGGGCTGCCGCGGGAGTGCCGGAGCCGCGCCGGTGCGAGCCGTGCGGAGGAGCCGAGGGGAGCCGTGCCGGGCCGGCGGGAGGGGCGCTGGGGGACGCTCGTGGCTTGTCAGTTTCTGAGCGTGCTTGCCAAAATCACTGAAAGGAGGAGAGGGGAAACAAACGAAGCCCCGACCGCGCAGGCATTTTTGTCTGTGGGCTTTGTTGGTGTTCCTCTGTAAGAGAGGCACAGCTTTAAATAATACCATGGGCGCCTTCTAGAAACAGTGTTCGATGGATTTCGCACTCCGTCGTGAGACCTCCGGGTGTGCGTTTTTTCATTGCAGCGTCCATCCAGCGGCAGGGGCAGAGGGAATTGCGGAGGGGGTGTGGCGAGGGTGTCTTTGTTATGGGGTTTTTGGTGGTGGTTTGGTTTTCTGTATCGGAGGAAAGTTGAATAGTTTTAGAAGAAATTACAGTTTTGGCCAAATTTTTCGTTTTGGATAATACATGAGACGTTAGGTAAAATAAGTAAAAAAATAGATCTTTTTCTGTTGTTGTTTGTGTTCAGCAATATAGCTGAGAGAGGATTTGGGTGAAGATGATAAAGGATTTCCTATTATATCACTTTAGGACGTTTTGTTTTCTTATATCGTCGGTTTAATGCTCAAATTAATATATTTTAATTGTATGTACACATTCATATATACCTGTAGGTAAATATATTTAGTGGCAGTGCTGTTTAATAAATAGTGGCATTTATATATGGTTTTTAGTCCAATTTTTTTTGGTGGTATATAGTGTCCTGTTTTATTTTTTGGTATTATTTACTACTTGTAGTTTGCTTTTGTGATTTTTTTAAATAAGTTTGGTACAGCAGCATTTAATGGTGGAGTTATTTAAGGTATGATACTTTATAGTAAATTTTTATTTGATTCAGTTACATGTGTAGGTTACATGGGGTTATTGAAGGGGGAGTGGGTTTAGTTGATTGCTTTTGGTGTTTTAGTTTACAGAGTATTTTTTGGATGGGAATTACAGTATTTTGAGTTGTTTGGTGTTGCTGGTGGTGTATTGTTGAGGTGGTAATTGGTATTTGTTGGGGTGTTTTTTAAGAAGAGTTGTTATAGATGGTGTTCAATAGTTGAAGTCAGGTTTTATGTTTTATGTTTTTTGGCTGTATAGTAGTTATTTTTAATGTGTATTTGAGATTTTTGGGTATTAGAAATATTTGTTTTGCAGAAAGTTCATGTTTAGAATGTATGAGTTTTCAGGTTATAATAGAATTCTAAAATTTTATTTTTAGTGAGATTTTAAGGTTTTATTGCAGTTAAATTTTGTGAAGTTTTTATTACATTAGTAATAGAAATAGGTTTTGTTTTACATGTTGTGATGAAATTAGTGTGTACTGTGTACCAGTGATCAGGTTTTATACTTGGGTGGATTTGATATGCTTAGGTTAATAATTTGGTATAGTTTAAAAGACCTTTTTTGGTTCTTATTTGGTTAAAGGCAAAGTTTTTTTTAGTTTTATGGGGTTTTTGGCATAGATTTTAGAGGTTTCATTAAAGGTATTGGACGTGGGGTCTTTGTTATTACATTAGGTAGTGTGGTTGTGGGTAATTGGAGGTGGCTTTTTTTTGGTGGAATTTTTTGAGTTTTGTTTTTAAAATTTATATATTTGTGTGCTTAGGGTAGTGGTGCTTCTGCTGGAATTCTAACCATCCATTCTTGATGGTGCGTTTTAGATGGTCCATTCATGTTATGCCCAGACTCCCTTACAAGTGGGCCAACAGACCCGGTTCATCTCCCTGGTGGGAAGTTAGGAATTAGTACAGGGCTCTGTGATAAAGCCTCGATCTTGTCCATTCGAAGGTGTCACCCCGGTAGCCTTCAGGAACGGCTGAGGAGTTGCCATAAGTCAGGGAGGTAGTGAGGAGGAGCCAGGGTCCACTCAGGTTTCAGCAATGCCACACCAGATCATCACCTCTTAATCCAGGGGTACCCTGCAAAAACAGCATCCATCTCTGAGCCTTAGTGCTTTGAGGGGACTATCAGAAACCGAGGCGTCCATCTTAGCATCTCTGATCTTAGTGTTCATCTGCCCAGTGCCGCTTCTGTCAAAGCATCGACTTGCGATCTCTGACAGTCATGAGAATCACACCTATTTTTGCAGCATTCAGTTAAATGTCTTTCAGGGTCTTGTTCTGAGCTGTTCTTGACAGCTGTGCACTGCAGCAATCCCTTATAGAGGATTAGGACGTGTACGGAGACTAAGATAGGTAGAGGATTCTGAGCCCTGAGTGAGCGGCTCCTGCCCAAAATTCCAAATGGTGCAAGATTCCACCCAGACTTAAGATGCCTCCACCGCAAACTCAGGCTGCTTTGAAACTCACAAGTGCCTCCTGCAAACTGACACCAGGTACCTGGGCTGGTGAGTTCTGCTGTACATGGAAAAGTCCAGCCCTGTTGTTCAGCTGCCTGTGGCCCCAAGAGTCCAACTGCCTGGTGAAGTTTCACACGCCACAGGATTCCCCACAGATGCCAGATGTCTCCACCGCAAACTAAGGCTGCTTTGAAACTCACAAGTGCCTCCTGCAAACTGACACCAGGTACTTGGGCTGCTGAGTTTTGTCTCTCAGGGAAAAGACCGGCATTGGTCTTCAGCTGATGGTGGCCCCGAGTGGATGAGTGCCTGATGATTTTTCCACAGCACAAGATTCCACCCAGACTTAAGATGTCTCCACCGCAAACTCAGGCTGCTTTGAAACTCACAAGTGCCTCCTGCAAACTGACACCAGGTACTTGGGCTGCTGAGTTTTGTCTCTCAGGGAAAAGACCGGCATTGGTCTTCAGCTGATGGTGGCCCCGAGTGGATGAGTGCCTGATGATTTTTCCACAGCACAAGATTCCACCCAGACTTAAGATGTCTCCACCGCAAACTCAGGCTGCTTTGAGAGTCACAAGTGCCTCCTTCAATATGACACCAGGTACCTGCGCTGGTGAGTTTTATCTCTCAGGAAAAAGTCCTGCTTTGTTGTTCAGCTGCCTGTGGCCCTGAGTGGCCGACTGCCAGCTGATTTTCTGCCCTTTGCGGGATTCTATCCAGACCCAAGCTGCCACCACCACAAACTCATGCTGCTTTGAGAGTCTCTAGTGCCTCCTGCAAACTGACACCTGGAACCTGGACTGGTGAGTTTTCCCTCTTAAGGTAAACTCCAGCTTCGTTATTCAGCTGCTTGTGTTCCCGAGTGGATGACTGCCTGATGATTTTTCCATAGCACAAGATTCCACCCAGACTTAAGATGTCTCCACCGCAAACTGAGGCTTCTTTGAGAGTCCCAAATGCCTCCTTCAATGTGACACCAAAAACCTGGACCGGTGAGTTTTGTCTCTCAGGGACCCCCTCAAACTGAAGTCAGAAGGGCCAAACAGCTGCAGCTGCTCTGAAGCCTTTTATACCTGGTAGGATTTGCCCCCTTTCCTGTGGAGGTATTGCAGGACCCTGTGATGAAGCTTGGAAATTTTCTGCTTAAAGGTCCCTTCTGGATAGCCCTCAGGAATGCCTGAGGAGTCACAGTGAGTTGGGGAGGTATTGAGGAGGAGGGAGGGTCCGCTCAATTCTCAGCAGTGCCACAGCACCTCGTCTCCCCTTTACCCAGGCGTAGCCCAAGACGTCGGCCTCAGAGCACGGCCAAAGCGTGCGGCCCGAGGAGCCGGTCATTCTTAGGAGGCGGTGAGTAGCAGAACTGTCGGATTTTAGTCGACGTGCTGCTAAGATGCCGCACTGATGTCTGGTTTTCTTTCTCTTGACAGACTAAGAGACAGCAGCCGGGTGACAGCAGGAACCTCCCAGACAGCCTGGTGACCTTCCTTTGCACCCGATGTGGATTCTCATTCACGGACATGCAAGAGATAAGTCGAGGGCTGTGTGTCACAGAGGGGATGCAGATGGAAGGGGGCTGCCGCGTCAGGTCTCACCGGGAGGGATTTTTGAGTCTGCTTTGGAGCTGAGGATATCCAGGAAATGTTGTTTTAAGGCCACACAAAAGCCAAGTGTCATTTTTGATCCCAGCGCTGAGGTGCGCAGGGCAGAGCAGTGCCAGTGTGTGTCGTGTCACTTGTCTGTCGTACCTTATGTGTCATTTGGCTATCTCATGTCTTTTACCTTAGCTCTGTGAGTGGCCTATCAGAAATACTGGCATCATTCTTAGCATCTGTGATCTCTGCATTTCTTGGCCTGCCACCAATGCCATAAGACTTTTGACTCAGGAGCTCAGATGGCATCAGAATTGCACCTCTCTTTAGAAGCATCCAGTTCAGATGTCTTTGAAGGTCTCGTTCCGAGCCGTACGGACAGTCGCGCCTCACAACGATCCATTATTGCGAATTAGGACTTGTAAGAACGGGAGGATAGGTAGAGGATTCTGACAGCAGGATTCACAGGCATCCTTTTTTGCATTTCTTTGAAGAAATCATTCCCTTAGCATCTTCCTCCAGGGTTCTCTGAGCCTCATGGGCTCACCATTGGTCTCACCTCATTCACTTCATTTTGCCTTCATTTTGCAGTCATTCTTCTTGCCTTCATTTTGCAGTCATTCTTCTTGCCAAGTGATTTCTCTTCCTGTTGTGTCCCCTTTGTCACGTCCTGTCCTGTGTCACGGGTGGGTGCACATATTTGTCCCGGAGCTGCTCTGCCCTGCCGCATAGCCTGGCACGTTAGGACAAATCCCGGGGACTTGAAATTTGTAGTGCGGGGTGTAGTTGGATTCTAGATGGGATTTGTAGATGGACACAAGATGTTTGGAGGTGTGAAGTTATTCTGCAGCTGATTGACTTGTGTCCTGAATTTCTTTCAGATGCAGATGGATAAAATCCATGGCAGAGCACCCCATCCCAGGTGAGTGGGTTCCCTGAGAAAGTCAGTCCCTGTTTGTCTCTGCAGGTGCAGTGTAAATGGTGACTTTGTGTTACAGCATTGTTGTTTTTCTTTATTTTTAGGAAGTAAAGCCATCTAGCAGCAGACAAGGCAAAGTGGTCAAGGTGAGCAGTGACTAGTGGACAGAAGTTGTTGTTATTGCTGAGATCTCAATTTCTGGTGCAACTCTAAGCACGCATGTTCGTTTGTGTGCTTTAGGCAATCCATTTGGAGTATACGTGACTCTGTCACACACTGGCTGATGGACTGTGATTGTTGCTCTTTGGAGTCGTGTGGAAGTATTGCAGGACTCGGTGATGAAGCCTCTGCCTTTTCGATTTAAAGGAGTCATCCGGGTGGCCTTTGGCAATGCCGAGGAGTTGTGGTGAGTCAGGAATAGGGAGGAGGAGCGAGGGTCCACTCTGGGGTCACCAATGCCACATCACCTTCTCTCCTCTTAACTTAGGTGAACCCAGCGTCCGAACGCAGCCGAAGCGTGCGGCATTCATAAGAGACCCAGGCATTGCTAGGAGAACGCTGAGTAGCAGAATTGTTGGGTTTTGGCCAATGTGCTGCCAAGATCAGACACTGATGCTCGGTTTTCTTGAATGCAGCTGACTAAGAGACAACGTGGTGACAGCAGGAACTTCCCAGACGGCAAGGGGAGGTCTTTTGCACCTGACACGGAGTGGCATCTGCAGATAAGTTGATGGCTGTGACCCATAGAGGGGATGATAGTGGGGTGCTGGGTCGGGACTCACAGGGAGGGATTTTTGAGTCTGCTTTGGAGTTGGGGATGTCCAAGAAGTGGCCCCTTAGGCCACAGAAAAGCCAAGTGTCACTTTTGATCCCAGTGCTGAGGTGCGCAGGGCAGAGCAGTCCCGGAGGGTATCGTGTCAGTTGTCTATTGTGCGTTCTGTGTGTTTGGCTTTCTCATGTCTTTTACCTTAGCCCTTTGAGGGGCCTATCAGAAACCCTGGCATCATTCTTAGCATCTCTGATCCCTGCATTCCTTGGTCTGGCACCAGTGCCATAGGACTTTTGTCTCAGGAGCTGAGACAGGCATCGGAATTGCATTTCTCATTAGGAGCATCCAGTCTGATGTCTTTGAAGGTCTCGTTCTGAGCCGTACGGACAGCTGTGCCTTGCAAGGATCCATTATTGCAGATGAGGACTTGTAAGAACATGCGGATAGGTAGAGGATTCTGACCGTAGGATTCACAGGCATCCGTCTTTGCAGTTCTTTGAAGAAATCATTCAGTTAGCATCTTCTTCCTCCAGGGTTCTCTGAGCCTCATTGGCTCGCCATCAGTCTCACCTCAGTCATTTCATTTTGCATTCTCTCAGTCCTTGCAGTCATTCTTCTTGCCAAGTTATTTCTGTTCCTGTTGCGTCCCCTTTGTTTGTCACGTCCTGTCCTGTGTCACGGGTGTCTGCACATATTTGTGCCGGAGCTGCTCCGCCCTGCCGCATAGCCTGGTGCGATAGGACAAATCCTGGGGGCCTGAAATTTGTAGTGTGGGGTGTAGTTGAACCCTAGACGGTATTCATAGTTTGACCCAAGATGTCTGGAGCTGCAAAGTTGTCCTGCAGCCCATTGACTTTTGTCCTGACTCTATTTCAGATGCGGATGGATAAAATCGGAGCAGAGCGCCCTATCCCAGGTGAGTGGGTTCCCCTGAGAAAGTCAGTCCCTGTTTGTCTCTGCGGGGGGAGTGTAAATGATGACTCTGTTACAGCATTGTCCTTTTTCTTTATTTTTAGGAAGTAAAGCCATCTAGCAGCAGACAAGGCAAAGTGGGCAAGGTGAGCAGTGACTAGTGGACAGAAGTTGTTGTTATTGCTGAGATCTCAATTTCTGGTGCAACTGTAAGCATTCACTGTCATTTTTTTATTTTAGGCGGTCCACTTGCAACCCAATCCGGCCAAGGATGCCCGATGTCAGGTAGGTGCAAGGTTATGGTGCACGTGTGGCTTATTTGTCAGGTTAGGGAGGTTTTTTTTTCACAGTATCTCAGCATGCTTTTTTGCTTTGTTTCTTTGCAGTGCTGTTGCCGTCCTTGGTGTGCCAAGGAACAGAGGTGAGCGGGTGAGCCTCTGTTTAGGCAGGGTGACACATAGGTGAGTGTTATGCAGCAGCAAGCTAAGCGTATACCTTTTGTTTTTGCAGGTGTCTTCCGGGCAGACTCGAGTCAAATCAAGATTTGAGGTGAGTTGGGGCAGTGGTGGGGAGGAGTCTTGGGGGTTACTCTTTGTGAGGGCAATAGTCACATTTTCTGTTTTGTCTTGGGTACCGTGAGGAGGTTTGTAGCCAAAGTTTGGAAAGAGCAGCACCGAAGCACATGACAACGTCCCAGCGTCCACGTCCAACCGGCGATGGATTTTGTCAGCTCATCTTCCCAAAGCTAAGTGTTGGGGCCCATACTTGCAGGGAGGGAAAAAGCCTTTACTCTCACAGGGGGAAATCTGATGTTAACTTAGTGGAGTAGTCTGTAGTGGAACAGGTCCCTCGGAAGTAAAGGGAGAGGGGTTCTCCTCAGTAAAGGGTGAGGGTTTCTCCTCAGCCTCACCAGAGCCTTTGCCGGGCAGGGCAGTTCTGACCCGCCTCCACGTTCTCGTGGACTTTGCGTCATCAGCCTCCTTCGACCCTCGACGTCGTCGCGGGCCTTTCTCCCGAGGAGCTCGCCTTCAGGTCCGGAGTTATAGCCACCATCACCCGGCAGTCTTTGCTTCCTTCTGTAGGCCCACCGAGCCTCTCAAGCATCCTCTTAACTGCTTTGGCAGCAACTCCTTTCAAGGAGTTGTTTCATCATCACACACTCTTGCCATAGGACTCGCTTTCCTTCGGCATCTTTGGCCTCTGGCTCATCTCGCACTAGAAATCTTGAGTCCATAAGGTGAAACTGCCAGGTGGTTGGAGCTGCTCTGCCCTGCTGCATAGTCTGGTGTAATAGGATAAATCCTGGGGGCTTGAAATTTGTAGTGTGGGGTGTTGTTGGATTATAGATGGGATTTGTAGATGGACCCAAGATGTCTGGAGCTGTGAAGTTATCCTGCAGCCCTTTGACATTTGTCCTCACTTGCTTTTAGATGCAGGTGGATAAAATCCATGGCAGAGCACCCCATCCCAGGTGAGTGGGTTGCCCTGAGCAGGTCAATCCCTGTTTGTCTCTGCAGGGGGAGTATAAATGGTGACTCTGTTACAGCATTGTTCTTTGTTTTTATTTTTAGGAAGTAAAGCCACATATCAGAAGTCAAGGCGAGGTGGTCAAGGTGAGCAGTTACCAGTGGACTGTAGCTGTTGTTATTGCTGCGATCTGAATCTCTGGTGCAACTGTAAGCATGCATTCTCGTTTGTGTGTGCTTTAGGCAATCCATTTGGAGTATGCATTACTCCCCATCACGCACTGGCCGGTGGACTGTGATCATTGCTCTTGTGAGCCCTGTGGAAGTATTTGTGCGTGACGTGAAGGAGGCGTTCACGGCAGACGAGCGTGGCGGTCCGTGTGCCGCTTTTGTTTTGGGGTTCCTGTAACAATAAATCCAAATGCAATGAAAATAGGAAAAAGGTTGTCTTCTGTTACTATGTGTTTGGCTTTCATTGTTTGTGTTGTTCTGTATTTGCATTAGCCGGTGCATTGTTGTGCATTGTTCTGTAGGTAAAATGGCCTTTCACCACCATGTGTATGGATTGTATGTGTACTTGCCTTTGTATATGCTGTTTCCATGTGTTTTGCTGAAGTGTAAATAAGAGAATTCATGCAATAAAGTTGAATCAACCCTAATAAAGATGCCCCCTTCCCTCCCCCCCCGCCCCCGCTTTGGCTCCTGTCTTTATTTGGTGCGGTGTAGTCATTTTTTTCCACTGCCTTTGTTCCTAGTACCTCTCACTTTTCTGTTTCTAACTTCATTTCCGTCCGTGTCTATCCCTGCCTCTGTTTCTTGGTGTTTCTAGCTCTGTCTATGCTTCTGTAACTCTGTTTCTCTGATTTATTTTCCCTCTGTTTCTGTATGTTACTATTTCTCTTTAACTGTATTTTTCTTCTCTCCTGCTTTAAGTGTAACCCTTTGTTCTTCTTTTCTACAGTCATTCTTCCTTTTCCCTCTCTTCCCTTTTGCACTCTCTTTTTTGGTCTTCCTCCTTTGCTTTTTCACTGTAACTCTAACCTGTCTTCTTTTTCAATCTGACTCTTTCCTGACTCTATCGCTCTGCCGTTTTCACTCTCTCGTTATTCTCTTTTCTCTCTTCCGTCTCTTCACTCTCTTCTCTTGGCACTCTCTCGTATTCCATCTCTTTTCACTCTCTTCTATTCTGTCTTGACTTTGTCCGATTCTCTCTCCTATTGTCCTTTCACTCTTTTATTCTGTATCCTCTTTTCCACCCTGTCTTCTAGTCTGTGTGTCTTCACTCTCTTTTATTCTCTCTTCTCCTTTCTCTCTTCTCTCTGCGTTCTCTTTTGTTCTTTTCTCCGTCGTCTCGTTTTCACATCTGTCTTCTCTCTCTTTTTGCTTCTGTTTTCTCGTCTTTTCTCTCTTCTGTTTTCATTCTTCCCTTCTTTTCACTTCTCTGTGTTTTCTCTGCTCCTCTGTTCTGTTTTC